AACAGCCAGGCTAAAGTATCATCCCGTCTTCTCCAGCTATTGCATAACAATATTAATTTTTTGTGTTTTTTCTTACTTTTTTTAACGCGAGTGGGATCAACTGCCCTTCACTTTCTACGTTCACCCTTTAACTGTTGTCTTCCTATTGCCTTCTCCGGCTGTGTATTGAGGTTATTGAGTTAATATCAACTTGATTAAGGTTTTGTTTGATTGTCCGAGTTTTTTTCTTTCTTTCTTTCTTTCATCTTCCCTTTTTAATCTCTCTCTTTTTTTCTTTTTTTTAAATTAATGATTTCACCCTCGTTTTTTTTACTTTCGGTCCTGAATTAGTTGTCTTTATCATCAAGACGAGATTCTAATAGTAAATGACGTCATTATTGTCTTCAGTCTTATCTTACGATGTTATTTTGTCGCAGGATCGAGCAGGGTGATGGGATCTCGCGGTCGGAAAGTGCGGCTGCGACTGGGCCCCTGGGGGAGATGGAGACCGTGGGAGAATACACGTAAGTGTTGGAGAGACGTGCGTGTTAACGGGTACATCTAGTACATTTGTATGAGCGGGTACAAACACGAGCAGATACATGCATATATATATATATATATATATATATATATATATATATATATATATATATACATATATATATGTGTGTGTGTGTGTGTGTGTGTGTGTGTGTGTGTGTGTGTGTGTGTGTGTGTGTGTGTGTGTGTATGTGTATGTGTGTGTGTATTTACGCACACACACACACACACACACACACACACACACACACACACACACACACACACACACACACACACACACACACTCACTCACACACGCACACACACAGATATATATATATATATATATATATATATATATATATATATATATATATATACATATATACACACATATATATACAATAAACAATAATTACAATTTTCCTTTAAAGATCTGGAATAGAAATAATGATGATAACGACATTATTGATGATAATAATCATAGTTAGAATGACCCTACTGATAATAACAGTAATAATGAAATTAGCAAGTATAACGATAACAAGCAATCTCATTTTTTTTCTCATTTTTTTTGCTTTTATCCTCTTCTTCCCCATCTTTCTCTCACATCTTCATTCCTCTCTTTCTCTCTCTCCCCTTCTTCCTTCTCCAGCTTCACCCACCCCGACGGCACCCTCCACCACCTGAGATACACAGCTGGTGTTGGGGGTTTCCTGCCCGAGTCTGATATGCTTCCGACGCCTCATCCCCTCGAGCCGTGGCACCTCGAACAGGTAAGTGTAGGATTGAGGGAGAGAGAAAAAAAGGGGAGGGAGGGAGGGATGGGTGGGTGGAGGGAGGGAGGGAGGGATGGGTGGAGGGAGGGAGGGAGGGATGGGTGGAGGGAGGGAGGGATGGGTGGATGGGTGGAGGGAGGGAGAGAGGGAGGGAGGGAGGGATGGTGGATGGGTGGATGAGGGAGAGGGAGGGAGGGAGAGGGAGAGGGAGAGGGAGGGATGGGTGTAGGGAAGGAGAGGGAGAGGAAGAGGGAGAGGGAGAGGAAAAAGGAAAAGGAATAGAGAGAGGGAGAGGGAGAGTGAAAGTGACAAAGAAAGTATATTGAATAAAAAATATAAAGAGAAAGTTAGATATAGGCCTGCACATTGCATCAGGAAATGTGCAAATACGTTTTTCGGGCAATATCAGAAGATAGCACAAAACATTTCCACTGAGTTGGCACGCATGGGCATTTTCTAAAGATAGCTAATAACATACCGGCTAAAGTAGAATTGAAAGCTTCAAGATTATATAATAGTAAGGTAGTTTGTGTGAGTCATTGTTTCGACCTGCAAGGCATAGCGTATGTCTTGAAGTTAGATATATTGATAGGCAGTGATCAGGAAAAATGCATTTTATTTTCGAGTGAAGCGAAAGGTGTGATTTGCATAATGAGAAGCAGTATCTCTAATCTTACATTCTTTCTAGAACGTGTTCATATCTCAGAAAAGAGAAAAAAACAACAAAATATCAATAGCAATAGTAATAATAATGATAAATAACGATAAAATCAATAATATCAACAACGGTAACAAAAACGACGCCGATAATAAAAAACTCAAATACAACAACAACGGCAAAAAAATAAACGATAATAAAGCTAATATACAGTAACAAAACCTAATACACAACACCAGAAAAAACAACAACATTACCAACACCAACAACGACAATCAATGCCCAGATTCTACCATTAACCCTTCCTCCTCCCAGATCGCGTTCGCAGAAGAGCAGAAGCGACTGCAGGCGGAATCCGAATCCGCGAACGGAGAAGAGAACGGAGAGGAGGCGAACGGAGAAGAGAACGGAGAGGAGGCGTGATGAGAGCGGTCACCACGAAACGATTTAGTTTATAGTTATTATTGTGTTGTTTTTCTTGTTCAGTATTTCCTCCCTTTTGTTAATAATGTTTCATGTTTTGTTTAATTAAGCGTAATAAAGTCATGACTTAAAAAAA